TGTCGCTAACGGCACTGGCTTTCCTGGCAGATGCTTCTAGCTAAAAAAATTTCAGACTGGCCGCCAGGACTGTCAGGAAACATCCTTTCAAAATCCCAGTCTTCTAGCTTCTCACTTCCCTGAGTTAGCAACTTACCTGGAAGAAACTTTCAAGGGCCCGTACGCAGGTACCACGCTTGCCCACGGGCGAGGTTTGAACTCGTTAATACCTATTTGGACGGGGAACATTGCCCTAAGATTTCAGCATTCTAGCTTCTCAGATCCCCGAGTTATGAACTTACCCCAGAAAAACTTTAGCGGGTCCGTACGCGGTACCACGCGAGTGTTGGCACCCATTTTGGCGATTGGGGCCGGCACGTGCCTGTAGATTAAGTTCCCGAAATTTCAGCCCCGCAGCTTTTATAGGTCTTGAGATGGAAGTGCGTGACAGACGCACACACAGACAACCCCTCGTCAATATGCGTTTTCTGCATTGCATAGCTGCAAAAAACGCAAAAAGGATGTCTACAACAGTAACGGCTAGCACTCCACAAAGATCGGAATACTGAACCAGGCCATGCGTCAGTGATGCACTGTGCCGCGCCGCTTTTAGTTTTTCGACTTCGATATGTTTCTCACTTACATTTAAGAGCTTCAATAACTTGCTGCACGGACGAACAACTTAGATATACGAGTACAATTCAGTTTGGTGAATAATGCGTGCAGAGTTGAAGCAAAAGCTTTTATTGAAAAACTAAATCGAAAAAGAAAAAAGCCTGAGCTAGGAAATCAATTTCAGTGAAAGCGTTCATCAAAACGCACAGGAAAGTTAACGTACAAATGAGAAAAAAGATATTTTTGGTGCACTAGTAGGCATAAAAATCAGGTAACTGAACGCAAGAATACGTCTGCTTGAAAAATGCAAAATCTTTTTTAACCACAAATAACCCTGAGCCAAGTAAAATTTTGAACTTGGAGAAAAATCCAGGTAACGTTTAAAAAAAACCATGAGTTTAAATTCGTAAAAA